TGAGGGTCTATTTCTCTCTCTCTTTCTCAACTGTCCATACCCTGACTGTGCATGTGAACTGACCAGATCATCAGGTACAGACCATTTCTCATCACCAGTGGGTCAATAAATCAGCAGACCTATTGATCAGTTCTTCTTAATGATAATTACTGTGCCTCTTGGGGGAATAAGGGGAGTACTTCAGTCACAAGCACATGTTTAAAAGGATGGTAATGACTGAGGTGACTGATTACTGAATAAAAACAGTAGGAAGAAATGAATGATGTTTGGTACCTCTCTGACGGCCCTGTTCATTTCCATGTGAATACCATCTGACGGCAACAATCAGTATGTTTTTAGCTTACTGTTGTGCTGTTGATTAATGTTGCACAGTCATCTTTGGCTCTTTGAAATGTAAAGGAAACTGCATTTCATTCAGCAAAGTGATTTAAAATATGTCTTTTTCTTACTTAAAAGAGGAATTCTATTTGATTTTTCTATTTTACCATTATTAATATTACATATAAAACTCAGAAGAGTAGTAGCTGAAGAAGTGTAGTTGACTGGTTATTTTGGATAGCACAAAAAATAGCTATATTTGCACTGAAGACATCGCAACCTCTGATTGTAAAGAAAATCTGAGTCAGTAAGTTTCTCGACAATTAAAAATTTCACAATCAAACAACTGAATGACTTCTCACTGAACGACATCTCAACCATTGCATTATGCAGAAATTTTGAAAAACAGGTAGAATACCCTTTTAAGATGGGAAACAAAGCTTTTAAAATTTAGAAAGGCAACAGTGGAGACTATCTGACTACAATATCAGTACTATATACATATATCTTTGCTATATGTTGTATATTAGAGCTGCATGATATGGACCAAATGTCATATTGCTATTTTATTGCTAGATTTTATTGCTAGACTGCAATTCTGATACACAGAATTTATTACAAAGAAATCTGTGAATCTGTGACGCATTTAAAGAATGGCCTGCTTTATTTTGACAAAATTTATTATAAATGCCTTGATTTGCCAAAACACCCCCAGAACACTCATCAAGGAACAGCTGTGAATGGCCAAAGCACAGAGGTTTATTTGGAGATAACACTCTTACACTATTAAGTTCAAAACTGCAACAATGATATACTGTGAAGCGATTTATATATTTCGGTGACCATATTTTGGTTTAAAAAATAGAGGACACTGGGGGAAAGAGGGAGGCACAGACATCAATAAATTATATTTCTAATATATTGTCAGTAAAAAACTGCATAGTGTGGTCCACAAAAAAATTGCATTGTTTTATAATGTAAAGGACTGTATGTAGGTATTGTTTAAGTTTAAAAAACTCTCCAGTCCATACAATCCATATATGGAGTCTAAGCTGTAAAAACAGCCTGTTCTGAATGCACTGTTTCTGTGATGTCATTTACATACATCTATCTATTCAGGCTAAAGCAGTTCACCCCTTCCCTTTCATGCTGCATTTTTACTGACAGGACAGCCAATCAGAACAGAGGCCAATTACATATATCGGTCTTAAACATATAACAAAAAACAGCCTGTTTAATTGTGAGGGATGAAGAGAGGTGGGGAAATGAGCATGTAATAATGAATTAAGAAGTGGACCTCGGGGGGGAAAACAATTCCCTGAATTTCAGAATTTCTTAGTACGTGGTTTGTCCTCTTGTGCTTTAATGACAGCATGCACTCCAGCTGGCATGGACTCCAAAAGTGCTGAAGACTAGATCAAATCCACCTGAGAGTCGTCTGAAAGCTGAAGCTGACCTTTTTGTACAAAGGCCTTAATATGACCAAAATGTCACAAATTTGATTAAATCTGAACAGTGACCTAGAAAAAATATTGAATTGTTTCTTTTTTTCTACTTATCATAACTTTTCTTTGTTTTACACTCTTCAAAAAAACTCTCTGGGTTGTTTACTTTCATGTTTAAATGAATTAAGAAAAAAAAAACACAGCTTTTAAAAAAGCTTCACTTAATGGACAGGTTAGCTAGAGTTATCAAGTGATGACACTATATACAATATATATTTCTGTTTATTCTGTGGACCCAAATAGCGTAAAGTTGGGAATAACAGCCAGCTGTTCATGCTGAGCTCTGTGCCTGAAATTCAACTGCATGAAAAACTGCTATAAAGATTTGACCCAGTTTTGCTCCTTCACATGAGACAGATAAAGAGATACAGAGAAAGAAACTTTCAGCAAACAAAGACGTTCTCAGTTTTTCATCTCATTAAAATTACTTGCATTTTGGAAGAGGCTGTACACAGCAGACTCCCAAGAACTTCTAACATCACATGGCTTGATTTAAGCTGAATGGTTTAAAGAAGGCCATTAATCACAGATGGGACTGATAATGGATGGATTTTATTTTTACTGTGGCCTATTATTATTAATAATAATAAAATTTTTTTAGTTGGAATGTTTAACCAAATATTTCCCTTGTATATAGTGTAAACACTGGAGGCTTGTCTTAACTGGGTGTTGAGATGTCTCTCTTGAGTTTGAGATTGCATTATTCTACTTGGGTTCATACTTGGGCTAACACTGACTCATCAGCCCTGCAGGCAAAAAGACTGAAGATAAAAGGGCGTCAGCAATGACAGCTTTTACTGAAGCCATTTCACCTTTTTTAGAGTTACTGAGGAAGCAGCGATTGGTAAAAGACAAAAAAAGTGTTTGGATCATCCCCATGAATACTGAGGGTTTTTCTATCAATTTATGGTGAGTCAAACAACAGTAGAATGTAGTTATGCAACCACTAAGAGATTAAAATGAATTCCAGCATGTAGTGCCAGGCACACCGACCCCTAGTTCTTGTGCTCAAAGCTGTCACCAGCAGTCATTTTCATTTGGGCAAAGCCATCCAAAAGAATTAACAGTGAGTCTCCACTAAATCACAGTATGTACTGAACCTTCCTTACGCAGTTTGGACATAAACCTAGCAAGATTCTGTGTACTTGCATCTCATAACTCATCTTTTTCTTTCTTCTCATAACTGATGTTTTTGTGAATGAAAAATTTGTAGACAATACAAAGAAAATTAGTAAACTATAAAATATTTTAAGAAATCTTCCAGTGGTTTTCAACCTGATGTGCCATATTTATAGCATATCGCTGTTGTCGGAAAAAAACCTCGTATCTCCAAAATGGTAACTTTACAGGAGAAGGAAAAAACCTACTTTACTTCTAATGTAAGTCAATGGAACCAGACTTTTTTACAAGTCAGTTTGGGTCGTTTCTTTTGGTCCATTCATCATGAAATTTACACACAATGTAAAGGACAACAGGCATTTTCAAACTATGTCAAAAACTGAAAAACGACAAAAAATTGAGATATGAGGTTTTCTTCCGACAACAGTGATGTGATGTATTACCATGGATTTTAATTTCCTTCTAATTCCCAAGAAAGAGCAGTAAACTCATTGACTCAGACCACACTTATAATAAGAGCCAATAAGAAGTTCTAGGTGTGGGAAACCCATATTCCTTTAAGTAAGATTTACATCACCAAAGAGCAGCGCCGCCTCATTCCTCAGTGTATGAGCTGTTCTGTGCTTCAGTCGTGCTTTATCGACTCGCTTGAGGCATTTTAAGCTTGAGCGCCTGGCAGAGGCAGACATGTCATGGAGCTTTAAGCCCAACTCTGTTTGGGGAATCACTGGACTACAAAGCCAGCCTTTGTTCCACTCCATTCTATTTCGCTCTATATGATGAAAGCCACTCCCCCACACATAATGAAATCTCCACATCTTGGCCAGCACACATAGCTAGGCACAATTTCAGGGATTACAGACAATAAGTAAAAAGGGGATGCATTAAAAAACTAGTTTCCAATTTCAGCTGATGCTTAGTAGTGGAGTTTTTGAGTAAAAGGCAACAGGCTAATTCAGTTACAAACAATACATGTATGTTTACTGACAGAATGGATAAACGAATGTATTTATCACTCCATGCCCCATATGACCAAACACAATCCCATGAGCTGAATCCACCCTCAGTCATTAACATTGTCATTTTGATTCCTTCACTAACCCTTGATTACGTTTTTTCAGTGACTTACTTCTATTACACCCTCTTGTCTTTACTATTAGCAGACTTAGCAGATTGAGCATGTTGTACTCAGTCTACGCAGGTATTAAACAGCTGTACGCCACGGCATCGTCACGACGCATCAGAGTCCGTCAAAGGAATGGCAGCCAATCAGCTTCACGCATTTCAAACCTCGTTTCCAATCCGCACACAGCGCGCGGCACCTGCGTCACACCTGAACAGCCGCATGTAGCTGGAGTTTTGCGTCAAATGACCAAACACGAGCTAAACCCAGACTAAACCAAAGCTAAACCCAGACTAAACAAAAGCTAAACCCCAGACTAAACTAAAGCTAAACTCCAGACTAAACCAAAGGTTTCAGGTTAGAGAGGGTACAGGTCCCTGAACCTTTACTTCACTGCTTCAAAAAGACACGACCCAAAGGTATTTTGTCAAAACAGTCTAGATTTACTCTTAAACACATAAAGTTTAGTGCATTAAGGAAAATGCAGCAGAATTTGCTGTGTTTGGTCTACAGCAGCCTGTTCCTAAACAACACTTAGCCCTGCACATTTTACTATTTTCACTGCTCCCAACACGCCTGATCTAACTCACCACCTCATAGCCCCGAGTTAAAGTGGAGGCGTTAGAGCTGGGATGCTACAGTTGTGCAGGGCAGTGTTCTCCAGGACCAAGGTGGGAACCTGTGGTCTAAAGTGAGCATGTTTTGTATAGTTATACCTTGGACGAACATCTAACAGCGCCCATTTAATTACATGAAATTTGCATAGCTTAATTCACAATCAAATTAGGATTTTTTTTAATAGTCCCACTTGGCAAAAAGACTACATGTATCATTAAAAGTCACTTAGCTACATGGTTTCTTCACATTTATACTTAGAACATATGAAACCTTCAGATATGAACATTTAGTTAATATGATGACAGTGAAACTCTTACCAGCTCCTGTTTTAGCCGTTTCAGGCAGTTGTCCATGTCCTTGCGCTCGGGCACGCGCTCCATCACAGAACTGAGCTAATGACGAGCTAAAACGAGCTAACACGGCTAACAGCGTCCCATTAAAACCACCAAGTCCAGCTGAAGTCGTTTATGTAGGAACCGAGTGTCAGTCTGTAGAGCACACTGTCTCCTCTCAGCTTCTCTCGAGTACCTAACTGATAGCAGGAGCCGAAGTGCAGAGTGTAATCTGTGATCTTCACTCCGCCTCAGACAGTCACTTCAAATCAAACACGGAGATTTGAGAGACCCGGAGCGCAGCGCTGCCGGACCTTCACTGCACTGTGAGAGAACTCACTGACACTTTCCAGGTCAGAGCTCAGCCATTTCTCTCTTATCTCCCCTCAGGTCTGTGACTGAGAAAGTCTCAGGTTTTCCTGTCCACCGCTGTTAACGTTGTGTTCAGCCAAACCAACCGCTGAGATCTGACTCCACGTGTGGCGTCCAGACTTCATTTGAACTGTCCAGGATGGATTTAAAAAGGGGTTTAACTAACGGCTCTGCGGGTACAAAACCGAACGAGCTTTAACTCCAGTAGTCAATAGATGATCAATGGACACTTCAGCAGGGATTCATCCATAAGAATAGAGGTGTCCCTATTGTCCACTGAATCAGCTTTATGTCCAGTGAATGCACAGATTCACTCTGACTGGATACTCTGATTGGTGGGAAAGTAGCTCTGCAGTTTGAACATAAACAACAAGCAAAATGTTTTGTGTTGTTTCAGCAAATTGCTGGATGTTCTTACATGAGCATTTTAATGTGCTAAATAATAAAGATTTAGTGTGAAATAATCATGATATAACAAGTTTGTGTCTCTGGGCAGTCAGTTTTAGACTAACATCCTGTCTTGACAGTAAATATTTCATAAATGCAGGGCCTGCAGCAATTTAACATGACTTTAATGTTTTAAGGGTGCACTGATATGGACATTCTGGGTAAATGCTGATCACTGATTTTTCATGCACTTATCTGCCGATACATGCAGATATATCAGCAATACAGAAAATGTAGAAATTGAGATTTCAACCACCTGGATTAGCATTATGGAGAGATAAAGCACATTTCTGTAGCGTTAAAGATGCAGCAAATGACTAAAATGCAGATATTTTAGCCGATATCATTGTGCATCTCTAACTGTTGAGATTATTGAATATACTAACAATGCATTCCCTTTTTATTGCCTTTTAAAGTTAATTAACCTTATTACTCAACATTATTTTAATCATCATCATTGTCATAACTTATTACTTTTTATAGACACACCAACACATAGTGGACGTTTAACATAAAACCTATATATTTTACATTCACAGACAGGGAACAAATTAAAGGATATATCTAAATAAATGAGTGGAGAAACATAACAGTGCAGATAATTCCAGACAGATTTACTGCATGATACAATTAAGCAATAAACACCATACCTTGCTCTGTGGCACAATGCTAATAAAGTATAATGCTGGTGTTTGTGTAATGCTAAGCAGGCCCAGTTGACCTCGATTTCGGATCAAGATGGCAAGTGGAAGAGATCTAAGTGACTTTGAAAAAGGATTCATTACTGAGTCACGGATCACACTCAGCTGGCTAGTGTTTTAGTATAAACAGTGACTAAAGTAACATCGGCTTTTAGATCTAAACACATCAGTGAAAGGTTGGAATTTGAGGGTGAAATCGCATTCAGTGAGCGTGATCCTTGTGCATTAGTGCGATATGTAAGAGTAGCTGTTCCTCAGGTTACTGAGTATGTCAGTGCGATACATTATCAGACTGTATGAGCAGGAACAGTCTGTCCACAACTGCACAAACATTATAGTAGAGTTTCAGTGCATAAACCCCTCATTACAAAGATGGATGTATCCAAGAGAGTTCAGTGGTTCAAAAACTATAGGCACTGGTCAACAGAGATGTGGGAAGAAATGGGGCAATCTTCACCATCTTCTCCACAAATGGTTAAGTGCATGTGCAGCATACACTGAGACAAAGGTCCAGGCCTGAATGCTTGACCCCTAGAGTGACAGAGTTTGGTGGTTCTGTTAAGCTGTGGGGGGCTTTTTCTCTGGAATGGTTTGGGTCCGCAGATCAATATAAAGTTATTCTGACATATCCCTTTCACCCTGTGATGAAACATTTCTATCCTGATGGGAGTGGTTTCTTTGAGAATGACAACTCCCCCCATCCACAGGGCACGAGTGGTCACTGAATGATTTGAAAAAGTATGAAAATGATGTAAACCATATGCTATACTTGGCCCAGATCTCAGCCCAATTAAACATCTATGGAGATTTTGGACAAACATGTTAGATAGTGCTCTCCACCACCATCATCAAGACTTCAGCTAAGGGAGTATCATTTGGAAGAATGGTGTTCCACCTCTCTAATACAGCTCCAAAGACCTGCAGAATCTATTCCAAAGCACTTTGAAACTGTTCTGGCAGGTCGTAATGGCCCGACATCTTACTAAGACACTTCATGTTGGTTTTTCCTTTAATTTGTCAGCCATCTGTATCCATCTTTGTTTATTCTTTCATGCATTGTGGAATACCGAAGAATGGAGACAGAACCCAGATCTATACAGAACAATCAAATCAATGTGCACAGACACCAGAATTCAAACTTTAGCATCTGCCATGTGGAGTTTTTTGGTAACTAAATGAAAGAGCTGTTTTTTAAAATATTACATAGATGTTCCACTCTTATTGGTGCTTTGAGTAAAGTTTTCAATGTGACTGAAGCATAAATCTTCTGTAAAGAGGCCACAGAATCCAGTGAACACATGTTTTATGAATTATGTGTTTACTTCTTCTTTTGGGGTTGATTTCTTTCCAGAATTGAAAATAAGTATTTTTCTTCAAGGCCCTATATTACTATTTAATAACATTTTATTTTTTGATGAACACTTTATATATACTTAATTGTAATAATAAAAATTTCCAGGAAGAGGCTTTTTTATATGTTCTTTATCTACATTGACAAGTTTGCACTTAAAAAAAAATCTGTTGCTTTTTTAAGGCATTTTGATTTTATTTGGATGGTACTCTTTCCTATCATTTTCCCCTTTACTGTCCATTAATGTTTCACATAGAAACTCAGTTTGACATGTAACTGTTGACAGCGTTGGACAAAATGCTTTGAAGAAGTAGTGATGGCTGAATACTGAATGTGCTGTCCTAAATGTATTCAGTAACGTACTGTATTCCAATACATAAAAAGTAATGTATTCAGAATACATTTAGAATACATCTTGTTAAGACATATAGGTAATAGGTCATTTCCTTATAGTCCTGAAATTCCTAATGTTTTTCTATGATTGTTGATAAAAAAGCATTGATGTGTTTCTTTTGAAGACTGTATATATATATATTTCCTTTCTTTACTGTGTATGAGTAGGTATGAGTGAGTATTCTGAAAGTATTCTCTTAAAAATGTAAAAAAGTAACTGCATTCTGAATACTGCCTTCAACAAAATGTAACTTGGGCTAACTGCAGATACTTAATGTATGTATTCTGAATATATATTCTCATAATGTGCAATTACTGCACAATAGACACTTAAGTTAAAAAATTAAAAGTGTCTGTTTATCGCCATCTTCTGGACATAGTGAAGAATGACACCTCTAGTTACTCTCCTGTACAGCAGAGGGCGCAGGACCTGTGTTGGTTCTGCACACCAGCGAATAAGCGAGACACTAACAAATCGGAGCAGAGAGGCAGGCGGGCTGCTGGGAACATGGCTGCGTCCATGAGACAAGCTGCTCATCAGATAGACACCAGAACACGGACAGACGATGTCCTACTGTCTGATGGAGTCGAGTTCAGTTCTTTACTCCTCTCGAAGCCTGTGCTGGAAGGCCTGTCAGCCTCCGGCTTTCAGAGACCCTCGCCCATCCAGCTGAAAGCGATTCCTCTGGGCCGGTGTGGACTGGGTAGTTATAAATCTCTATAACTCCAGCGTTAACTCTGTCAGCAAACAGTCGTCTTCAGCACAGCTTATAAACTCAGATTTAATCACATTTATTCACACTGAGGGCAGGAAGTGATATAAAGAGAACATGTGTGATAGTATTGACACAAAGTCTTATTTCTGTCAAGAAATGTCTCAAGTAAAGTAAAAATAGCAGTTTAAAAAAGAAAAATAGAAGTGCTGAAGTAGTAGGTGATCAAAAGACTACTCTTAGGGGAACTCTACCGATTTTTCTAAAATTCTAGAAAATTTAATGAGATGCAAAGCCGTTCAGAGTGGTTTGAGGTGAAATGGTTCGTTTTAGAGAAATTTGCTGCCTCGGATTTCTTTACAGTGTTGGTGATCAGAACCAGGAGTTACAGTGTGTCCAAAACAAATATAACCATTTTATTTACAAAAACCACCAATGAGTTTTTATATGTAATGTTGAAAAGGATGCTAAAATAGTTGTATATCTGAAAATGTTTTCTTGGGCACTGTTTTTTTTCCTCAACGCTTTTTCATGTAGAAACTTTCTGTGAGGGAGCCTTTAGAGGTATTAAATGCTTTGGACGCCTGGTTCCTGTCACCACCTCTGTGAACAAGTCTGACTCAGTAGGTTTCTCTAGAATAAAGCATTTAATATCAAACCACTCTGAATGACTCTGTTTACATCTCAAGGACTGAATTATTTGGAAATTTTGAACAATTGGTGGAGTACCCCTTTAAGCACTGGATAATTTCTAGAATTATGGTCAGACTTAGTACATCTATAAGTATAAGAGCTAAAGTTTGTTCTCTTTGCGTTTAGTCTAAAATCAAATGCTTAAGCTCTGCAGTGCAAAGCACAGACTCTGTCAGTGACTTAACACGATGTATTTATGCACCAAAAAGAAATTAGTGACTAAATTGTAACAAGAAAGCATATAGTAGTCTGATTCAGGAAAGTACAGATCCATCATGTGTCTGAGTAAATGTAACTAGTTACTACCTGTGGACAAATGAGATAAAACCAAAAGCAAGATTTAAAGTGCAAATTTGCTAAATTTTTGAAGCAAAATTTCGGTGGGCCTCTGTAGATAGACCTTAAAACGCTATAGGATGAGATCAAAATTATTTCTAACTAGTTTATTCAACATCATATTCTGCTTGTGCTTTGTGTGTGTAATTATACCCTTAAAGCAAACAACCATGTTTATTGAAAGACAAGCATAAACAAGGGGAAAACGGCTAAATCTGGTACTTGCTATTCTGCAGAGTGAATAACACAAAATAACACAACATATAATGCATAAAACAAGGGATGCATGATGATATTGGAATCATATTGGTATTAGCAGATACTTGCTCCAAAAGAATTGACATGTTTAGATTTGAACAATATTTGTTTTTATTATGGGCTTTGGGCTCATTACTTTTAAGGAATCCATATACTTTGGTGAGTGTAAGCTTATGGCCTAGATTTTAGCTTGATGAGGATGTTTCTCTGCTTTT